ATCGTACCGTCTGACTTAAGACGCTCTGTAATAAGTGTTCGCGCTAAGAGGGGCAAATCGACCACCACCTGGTTATTGGCACGCAAAGCTGTAAGAAATGGAGTACCATGCGACGATCTGGTGGCAGTAGGAGGTAAACTTGCAAACAACATTGCATGGCGGTTTGAACAGATCCCGGTGATAACTGCCAATGTGGAAAGCCGTGGAAGCTGTTTATGAGTTTAGTACTCAGGGTGGCCTTCGAATGCTGCAGATTCAAACGGTTTGGCCTGCCACCTGGAGGATTTTCCTGGTAGACTCGAGAAGTACAACTGGAAGTTAAAGGGAAGAAGGCGATATTTAAAAAAATGGCTTGGAAGCAAAGAGCCTTCTATTCGCTTGCGATATGTCGAGGCACGCCAAGCGGCAACAAAAGTAATGGCGAAAGCCAATGCTAATTCCTGAGAGAAGTTTGATGAGGTGTCGGAGTCGAATTTTCACACGACAAACAAGATATTCTGACAGACCATTCAACGGTTCCGAGGTGATAAAAAAAAGCATCTAAGAGTCTTGAAAGACAAGAGTGGACACCGTCTTTCGGCGATGGAGACAGTTCTTTGAGGAATTCCTTAACTCCGAACAACAGCAGGAAGAATCGCCTGTAGACCAGCAGTGAGTGGCTATTGTTACTGTAGACAAAATGACACAATTCGTGAAGAACCTGAAAAGTAGAAAGGTTGCTTTAATTGACAGGCTCCCTTCTAAAATACTTAAAGCATTAGGTGAACAGAGCATGTGCTAAAAAATGTCTGTGTAACAGCAATGGGTACGGGAAAGGCACCAGCGAACTAGAGATCGACGGTTTTCGTGCATCTGTTCAAGAAGGGGACTACAGGGAGTGCTCTGTTTATCAGGTAATTACCTTACTGAGCCTCCCGGGTAAAGCTTACACGTAGATGCTAGGAGATGCCACGTAACAACTGACTCCAAGATGCGAAAAGGACGGTGTATCTTCAGGTCAGACTGAAGCCTTCTTTCTGCATTTTCGAGTGATGCAAGATTTTTGAGAAATCATTTGTTTTGTCATCGGGTTTACATGTGCTGTGGACCTGGTAAATACCTCTGACTAGATCCCGTGCACACCCGTGTGCATGTCTGTAAACATATGGATCGATGTCCAGTTGCAGCAGTCCATTCAGTCATTGTAAATTGATAGCAGGTGATGCGTCAGAGTAAATGACTCTAAATGAGTAAAGTGGAGACCTTTCAGCGTTTGCACTAATTTCCGCCAAGGCTGCGTTTCGTCTCCCTTTTGTTTGTTTTTTACATGAATAGAATGGTCATCCGTAGCCAGGGCGAAGAACGTATCAGAGTAGGAGATGTCGAGACGAGAAAATCGCTGACGAAGAGAAGTGAATCTGATTCTTAAGAATGAGAAGTCACAGCTGCGATAGTTTGGGCACTTGTTGTTGCGATTGCCTCCTGAAAGGAAGGAGAAGCAACTGTGTCTTGCCCAGCCGACCGGGAGAAAGCTCGGGGGTTGGCGAAGATTAACCCGGTGCAAATATACGGAAGGAATCTGCTCCCGCTTCCGGTTGTCTTCTGCCAAAGCTCAGACTAGAAGGGTATCGAAAATGTTTGAAACACTTTCTAACACGTCTGCCTCCTCGATCTGAAAACAGAACCGGTCATCGAAAGTGAAGTGCAGCGTCTGTCGCACATCCGCTGTATATGATGTTTTTGCACTCATTTATTGACTTTCCTCAGTAATTGTTTGTATGTCCTTTTTGAGCGTCCTGTGCGAATGGCTGCAGCAAATACTCTTGTACTGTGCTATGCCATGTGTAGCCTAATAACAAAAGCTATTGTACGTGACAGAACACACATGAGGGCTCCTAGAAAGGCCTTGCAGTAGTTGCAGAATTGACCAGTAATCGTCACCTAGCCGTATCGGACAATGCCCAGTAGTAAGTAGGTCAGTTGACGTTGCGTCCGAGAGTTGAAGGCTATTGGCAGGCAGGAGAGCCGCCTTCAACGAAACGACGACGAAAACTATGCAACTGACGGCGATGAGAGGAGCAATAATGCGTCGACAAACAGCCGTGAGGGAAAAAGCGTACCAAGTATACCGGTTCAGGGCACGGCGATAAAACGCTCTAGGCCAGTCGGCTGCTCGTGACGAAAAAATTACTTATAGCTTTTTAGTCTATCGTGATGTACATGTTGACGTTTTAGAGACAGAGGCCAGGCCAGGCGATGGCATCGACGCTCAATCCATCTTGCGATCCACGTGATATCCATGGTAAGCACGCTGAGGCTAAGAGTTTGAAATTAAAAAAGCGGCACCGATGATTTCGCCTTTACGTATTTTTATACCAAGTTGTCGGCGACGACCAGGCACGAGCTGTTTCGCCTTGTAATTTTATTGTTTATGTTTTTAGGCGTCGAACGTGCCAACGTCTTACTGCTGCTACGGCTGATCATTCGCAAATTGCTGGAAGAGGCGATGCGCTCTGATGACCGAGCAATTGCCAGCGACCATCCACAGTTGCAGAACTTATTTGTGGTTCTAGAAAGAGCGCTGAGGCATGGTCTGAAACGTAAGCGACGGCGATCTCCGCGTAATTCGCTAGCTCTTCTGCTGCTCTGATTCTGTATTCTGTTTTTATTTATTTTGTATTTTTTTGTTTTTGTTTCGTTTGTCGTCGGCCTAATGCTTACTGTGTTTACGCAGGCTTCCGGTCGATTGTCTGGAACGACTATGATCTGTGGCAGATAATCGAAAAGGTGTCCGTACGCTCGGCCGACTTAAACGAATCTGTCGTTTGCATCCAGCAGCTGCCTCACGTCGTGTAAGGGTGAACGAGGCTTGTGACTGAGCGTCTGAGAAGTTTGTTACTTTTAAATACTGCGTACACGAAACTGTTGAAAAATTGTTTCGCATGTTGGCAATCAAATATTCCTATAACAATGTTGAAACGGCTTGCAAACAAAACCTTCACCTGAACTTTTCAAATAGTAGTTCATTGGTTTTCTTCAACAATCATTCAGGCTTAATGATTCATCCTTTCAGACCTCTGGGCACGCGACTTCAAGACGCTTAAACGATATCTGTGATAAGTTTCTAGAATAAGTGGCCTTTCGCACGCTGATCTATTGATGCGCATGGTCCACTGATTTGGCAGTCTCTCATGGCTCTTCCATGGATATTAGCACATATCCATTAGATGGCAGACTATCGCAGTGTCTGTCTTGAATTTCATCAGCTAGACAACCATGTCAGGGATTTTAATGTTTTGTCCAGAACTCAGCCATATCGAAGATCTATAATCCCAACTTCAGCGTGCGAAGTTCTACTGATGTTGGACGGTAATACTTAAATTTTCTCAATGTAACAGTTTTTCTAGTCTTTTGTCTCTGTTTACTTTGCTTCGTGGTTATGTACTGGTTTCCCGGTAGTCCTATGTTCAGTTATTCTTTTTGTCAATTCTAAA